TGCTCGACGTCTTGGGGAACTCTTTTCAGCGACGCTGTTCTGTTCCACGAACTGAAGCTGGAATCTGATCACAGCCCTTTGCGATTGGATATCCATGGTAAAAAACCTCGGAACAATTTCCCTTTTCGATTTGACAAACGCTGGCTGCAAAAGGAAGAATGCTTTGAAATTATTAACCAAAGTTGGGATGTTGGGGGATCCTGTGAGGAAAGACTTGCCAACTGTGAAAAGGAATTGGCAGCTTGGGCTAAGCAAGTTTACAAGGACCAGAATCATAGGGCTATTTCTATTCATAATCGACTTAATGAAATTTTGGAGTTGGACCGAGACCACCAAATCATACAGGAGGAGAAAGAACGTATGAATGAACTTGCTGATATATGGAAGGATGAAGAGCTTTTTGGAGTCAACGGTCTAGAGTCGGGTGGCTGCATGAGGGGGACTGTAATACGATTTTTTTTTCATACCTCAACTATCCACAGGAAACAGAGAAACAGGATTGTATCTCTCAAAGACGATCAAGGAAATGAGCTTAATCAACAGGATGAGATATATAATCATGTGCCGAACTCTTACCAAAGCCTCTTCGCTAGTACTTCCACCATGCATGATCCCAGGATTTTACAGGGTTTTCCCAAGCTGGTCACTGATGAAATGAACTCGGAATTATGCAAGATACCTTCGTTGGAGGAAGTTAGAGTGGCTGTTTTTGATCTTGGTCAGGATAAATCCCCTGGACCTGATGGTTTTGCGGGGCTGTTCTTTCGGAAATTCTGGAACAAGATTAAGGATGACTTTTGTAAAGAAGTCCAGGAGTTCTTCTTGTCCTCAGTCATGCCACAAGGTTGGAACAAAACCCATATTGTGCTAATACCAAAGGTCTAGGCTCCGGAGTTGGTGAGCCAATTTCGACCAATCAGTTGCTGTAATTTTTGATACAAAGCGATATCCAAGATCATGACAACGCGACTTAAGAGATGGACGCCGAAGTTAGTTTCAGAAAATCAAGCTGCATTCACAGGAGGGAGAATGATTCAGGATAACATTATCATGGTTCATGAGATTCTTCACAATTTTAAGAACCGGAGAAGCGGGAACTGGGATATGATGATGAAGCTTGATATGAGGAAAGCTTATGATCTTGTTGATTGGGATTTCTTGGATGCTATCTTGCAAGCGTATGGTTTTGACGGGAAGTGGAGAAGCTGGATTAGTCAATGCATTCGAACGGTCTCTTTTTCAGTGTTGTTCAATGGAAGCCCTACAGAGTACTTCTCACCTTCACGGGGGATTCGCCAAGGGGACCCCCTGTCCCCTTTCCTGTTCATTCTGCTTTCCAATGCACTTTCTTTCCTCATCAATAAAGGGATTGAGAAAGGGGACATCCGAGTAATCAAAATAAATCAGCATTGTCCTACTATCTCTCATTGCCTATTTGCCGATGATACTGTGATTTTTGGCAAAGCTAGCGTGAGGTAAGCAACCCATATCATGAACATCTTGAAGAGCTACGGGAGTGTTACCGGGCAAGAAATCAATATTTCAAAATCTTCCATCTTCTTTAGCAAGAATACGCCGGAGGCAATTAAGGAGCTGATTACATCACAATGTGGGTTCTCACCAGTTTCCTGTCATGATAATTACCTGGGGGTGCCATCTGAGTGGGGAGATCTAAGAAGGAGACATTCTCGTTTTTTATTGAGAGGATGGAAAAGAAGGGTGATTGTTGGAAAAGTCTTCTTTTATCTCCAGGAGGGAAGGAGGTCTTGCTCAAAGCGGTGCTTCAAGCTATTCCGACCTTCATCATGAGTGTGTTTTTGCTGCCACTCTCTATTACCCAAAGAATGGACTCCATCTTGAAGAGATTTTTTTGGGCGGGAAATATGAGGAAGAAATTGATTCATTGGTGTGATGCAAGAACTCTCGAACGACCAAAACAGGTAGGTGGTTTGGGTTTCCGTAATTTTCACATGTTTAACTTGGCCCTTCTTGGTAAACAGGTGTGGAGGATTTTGGAGAACCCAGAGGCTTTGTGGGTGAAGCTCCTTAAAGGGTTGTACTTCCCAGATGGAAATTTTCTCGCAGCTCCAAAGGGAAGATGTGGATCTTGGGTGTGGAATGGCTTGTGTGACACGAAAGAGGCGATTAAAGGAGGAATGATCAAGGTGATCATGTCAGGAGAGGATACTAGCTTCAACCTTGACCTGTGGATTCCATCCCTTCCGAGCCTTTCCGTGGCTGATCCAAACCTCCCCGATTCTCGAGTGAGTGATTGGATTCGGCAGATTGATCGGTCTTGGGACGCTGCTGCTATCCGGAACATATGCGCTGAGGATGTCGCAGATGCTATCTTTCGAGTCCCTATTGGTCCTGCTGAATCGAGAGATTGTTGGGCTTGGAAGCACACTGTTAATGGAGAATATACTGCCCGCTCGGCCTACCATGTCCTTCGTGAAGCACGTGATTTGCATGCCACCTATCCACCTCAATTGCAAAGCCACCCCAATAGTGAAGATTGGAAGTGGATGTGGTCCCTCGCTCTACCTCCCAAGCTGCGGTTCTTCATATGGAAATGCGCTAAGAAAGCTATTGCGACGAGGGAGCGACTTTTCACCCGCCGATGTTCTCCCAATCCTAAATGTCCAATCTGTGAGATGCCATCTGAAACGGTGATGAACTGTCTTTTCCACTGTCAGCATGCCTCAGAAACATGGAACCTATCAGGGCTCCTTGTCACTGTGTCGCCTATGGATGCTTCATTTGCTTCATGGTTTTTCAATCTGAAAGACACCATGGGGGAGGCACACATCCGGAAGATAGTCTACTGCCTGTGGGATATTTGGCTATCTAGGACCTCAATTGCAAAGCCACCCCAATAGTGAAGATTGGAAGTGGATGTGGTCCCTCGCTCTACCTCCCAAGCTGCTGTTCTTCATATGGAAATGCGCTAAGAAAGCTATTGCGACGAGGGAGCGAATTTTCACCCGCCGATGTTCTCCCAATCCTAAATGTCCAATCTGTGAGATGCCATCTAAAACGGTGATGCACTGTCTTTTCCACTGTCAGCATGCCTCAGAAACATGGAACCTATCAGGGCTCCTTGTCACTGTGCCGCCTATGGATGCTTCATTTGCTTCATGGTTTTTCAATCTGAAAGACACCATGGGGGAGGCACACATCCGGAAGATAGTCTACTGCCTGTGGGATATTTGGCTATCTAGGAATGCTTTCATCTTTGACAGTAGGGCACCTTCCCCGGCCTCTTTGGTAATTAAGTCGGCCCGTGACATCCTTGAATGGGAAGAAGCTCGAGTTTCGACACCTTCTTCGATTCCTTACCGGCCAACTCAGTTACCTTCTCAGTCTAGGGGTTCCCGTTTCAACACTAAACCACCGCCCTGTACCCGAGTGATGTTCTGTGATGGGTCGTTCATCTCAGACTCGAGTCCGGCGGCATATGGAATTACTATTGCTAACTCTCAGGGTCACGTGTACGACGGCAAGACTGAGACCTTCCTTTGTTCTCATCCGATTCAGGCGGAAGCTTTTGGTCTTCTCAATGCTATTAGGGTTGCTTCTCAGGATAACATCCCAACCTGTATTCGTACAGATTGTCAGGTGCTTTCCCTTGCGCTGCATCAGGAACCCTCAGCATGGCCTTGGATGTGTCGGGCTACCATTGCGCAGATGGTTCTCCTTCTCAGGCTTGCACCATCGATTCGTGTTGAGTTTGTTCCTCGACGTTTGAATCGATTAGCGGATTGGGTGGCACGACATGCTAGGGCGGGATCGTTACCAGTGGATTGGATTTTAATTGTCAATATTATTGCTCCACTCCTGTAATGTGACCACGGTTTTCCCGGTTTCGAATGGAATAAAAGGTTGCTTATTGTAAAAAAAAAAGAAATGAATTCACTACAACAAACAAGACGTCAAACTTGACAAGATTCACTAAGGGGTCGTTTGGAAGTTGCGATTGTTAAATAGATGTATTGTTGAGAATGCATGTATAATATTATACATGTATTGTCAAATACAACGTTGGTATGTGCGATTGTGTATGTCGCATCAGCTAAAAGTTGAAACAAAACAATCTCAACTCAACTATCTCAACAATCACAACTAAAAGTTGAGATATAACAATCACTCAAAATGAGTAATAGTTTCTGTCACATCAAAGAAACAATCCATGTATTGTTTCTGGTAAAAAAAATGATACATTATAAACAATACATGCATAATGACAATCTCAACAAAACAATACATGCATCCCTAGTAGGGGTGGCTATACGGTCTGGTCCGGTTAAATTGGCCCAAATTGATCCGGTCCAGTCCGGTCTTTTAGAAAATATAAGGACCGAAGATTGGATTGGATACAGTCCGGTCTTGATCCGGTCCGGTCTTAACCCGGTCCGGTCCCAATTCGGTCTTGAATTTATATTGAGATTGTGGGATTTGAGTGGCCTAAGGCCTGAAAGGGTGAGAAGTTTGTTAAGATTTGTACTAAGTGCAAAAGTTTGTGACCGTTTATGCAAATTACCCTTAAGTTTTGGGTGTTGAGCTCTCTTATCCGGTCTTTATCCAGTTTTTTACTTCAAATCCAAGCCCAAAAATTGGATTGGATTGTTTACTATCCGATCCCGGTCTGGTCTCGGTCCGGGTTATACGGTCCGGTTTCGGGTAAAACCAAAAAACCCGGACCAAATAGCCAGCCCTAATCCCTAGACACCCAAATATTGTACCCGGGTAACACTATCATACTGCAATTTCGAAATAGAAGCTAGCGCTCAAAATATTCAGAGTCCAAAAGCATCCTGCAAACGTGCCTCCCGTTTGAATAACTTGCAAATAAAAAAGGCAAAGAGCCAAACTAAGAAGCTCTCCCCCTCTGAACATGTCTCTGCACAGAACAATATAAAAAGGCACTTCAAGACCATGATCAAGTATTAGAAAGGAGGGACGGGGAAACAAGTGTTCAACACGATTCTTCATGATCGTACTTAATCCACCATCGTGACCTGCTGCCAGTCTCCATCTACAGCTTCTCTCCAGAGCGTAACAGAGTTGTTCCCATCCGCAACAGCCAGAATATTTCCTGTGAGCGACCACGAAACCCTCCACACAGGAGTCTTGAAATCATTCAACACTTTGCCTTCCCACTGCTCCCCTTCTTTGGCCACTGTCCATATGATGACCTTCCCATCTTGAGATGCACTAGCAATGGTGGACTTTGGGAGCCCCAAGTTCGGTGCCCAGGCTACATCCCTCACCCAATCGGCGTGCATCTGAAGAGCAGGGAAGCAGTCCATCTTCCATGTCCCATTGGATAGCTTCCACACTTTCACAGTGTTGTCACAGCCTCCAGAGCAGAGCTTCTGAACTGGGTCGAGCATACCAGACCCCACGAGGGCACCAGGGGCAGTTGATGGGGCCCAAGATACAGATGTCACACCGACAGGGTGAGCTTGATCGATCCTCGATGTGTCCCAGCCACCGTCTGCTCGTGCGGTGAAGACCGATATGTTGCCATCAGATGACCCACAAGCCAAACACAGCCCGAGTTCATGTGGCGCCCAGGCAATGGAGTTGACAGAGGACTTGTGGTCATCGAAGACATGGGCTTGGGTCCACTCGTTTGCATTGCCCTCCTTCCATAAAATAACACGTCCATCATAAGAGCAGGAAGCGAGCAAGGACCCAAATTTGGGGTGAGCCCAGGCTACTTGCCAAACGGGGCCTTGGTGACCGGTAAGCTTAGCTAGAGGCTGAGAGGTGTTGTTGCTCACTCCAACTATCTTGATGGAATGGTCTGCTGAAGCTGTTGCAATGCGCTTACCATAGTAATCCATTTGAACATCATGGACTGTGTCCTCATGACCCGTTTCAATCTTCTGTAAAGGCATTTTTAATCCCAATGAAGTTTACCCCCTGTAACAGAATGACATAAACCAGGATATCTAATTCAACACAATCATATATCAGGATATATATAACCTCTTATTCAGGAACTGGGAGAATTAACCTATCAATTCAATCATAGAACTGACCCAGAAACAACACATCTCGTTATCACATTATCCAACAAACATTACTGCAACAAAACTTAGCAGGTGCGAAACTCTCGGTAAATGAAATGGTTACAGTTCGAAAATCCTAATTAAGTGGTTCGACATTCCAGTAGAAAAGGATAGTTCCGGTGACATTTTGCACCTAATTTAGATGAACTAAACCTATCCATTGAAACATGGAACTAACTCGGCAGAATGAAGCCTTTGCAGTAGGAAGGATAGAAGGGCAAAGAGAAATAACAAAAAACGATCCCAAGTTGCAAACTGCAATCGATTCTAGAGTCTCGAAATGCGAAATTGACACCATAAACACTTGGTGGCGAATTTCAATTTTCTCTTCAAGCCTGGGGCTTATGGTGCCGGAAACGCAACAACAGCGAGAGAATGAGAAACAAGACAATCAAATTAATCACGACACCATAGTTCAGGACAATCAACCCTAGCTCCTCCAACAGGACTTCAGATCCGGGCAATGAAGGAAAAGATGACGGCGCCTCAATCAGATTTCTCGCTCATAAATCAACAATCGTCACGAGAAAGAAAAAAAATGGGAAGGCATTCGTTCTGTATGGAGAATGCGAACTACGCAAAACCATCAGATTGAACCGAGAAAAAAGCCCAATTATTCAAATCAAGGAACTCGAATGAACAACGCTCGTTGAGACAAAGGGAATTGAAAAGAGAAGATCGAACCAGAGCGATGAGAAGCGGCTGCTGCGGCGGCGCGACAAGTGAGATGGGCGGAGGAAGCTCCCCTGGATGCACGACGAAGAAGAAGGAGAAATAGAGGCCGAGAGAGAATGGCGTTTGCCAGATTCAACCAAGACTAAGTTTTCTTGTCCCGACCAATGTTAAGATAGTGAACGAAAAACGAAAGTGGGCTTTAAAGGGCCCGTTATCATATATTGTCAATGAATGGACTGAAAGAACAGCTAAGTACGGGCTTGGGCTTGGGCTTCTTACGTTGGACTGGGTTTCAGGGTAGACCGGAGCTTATAAAAAAGGGTAAATACAATATATTATCCACAACTATTAACAAACGGGAAATTATATCCATAACTATCGAAATACAAAATAATAGCCAATTGTTAAGTCTCCGTTAACACTTCCGTTAGATGATGGTGAATTTGCAGATGCTATGCTGACGTGGCAGTCAACACAAATGCCACATAAGCAGGTCAACCTTGTAACTTATTAATTAATATATTATTAGGGGAAAAAATAAAAAAAATCCCCCGATTATCCCCCGATTCCAATCATCATCGTCAATTCGCCCCGCAGGTCATCGCCGTTCAAGCTCTAGAAACTCTTGCACACGATTCAGAAGCTGAACGGGGGCGAGCGTCTCTCCATCCTTTTCCGGGTAGTCAGGTCGGGGGAACGCGAACGGTCGCAGGCTCGCCGACGGGTCGGGTTTCGGCGTAGAGGAGTAGTAGTTCTGCGGGCTGCTCTGTGCTGTGCCGAACGAATAGTCCTCAAAATGACCTCTGCAAGCTCTGGTGCTCATCTTCGTCAGCGCCGATGGAGTAGGCGAAACCTGGAAATTGGATTGTGCGATGGAGGCGGAGTAGCTGTTTCGGCTCTTCGTGCTTCCCTTCAAAGCTCCCAGATCCGTCCAGAATCTTCGATCTTCTGCCTACTGGCGGACGAACTCATGCGAGACAAGCACTTCGATTCGTCCAAAATCGAATCCAATCTGATGAAGCTGTTCGAATTGGAGGCCTACAAGGCGTGGGCTGCGCTGGAATCGGCGATGGAGGCGGCGATCACGGAGTTACGTAGGTTCGAGGAGGAGATGGATGGGATGGCGAAGGTGAAGGCGGAACTGGAAAGGACGGCAGAGAGGCGAGGAGGATGGGGAAAGTGATGGAGAAGGCGGCGTCGGTGGCTTCGAAGAGGTTCGTTCCAGGGTGGCGGATTGGAAAATAATAGGGGGGAAATTCTTTCCAGCGGAGGGGATTGGGAAAAAATAGGTTTTCTCATTTTTTTATTTTTTTAATAATAATGATTATTTTAATATATTATTATATTTTAATATTTTCTGACGTGGAATGGTGATGTGACAGTCTCCGTTATAAAATTTAACGGAGATACAGACAGTTAGCCATTTCATGATTCGCAACAATAGTTGTGGCTATTATTTTGTATTTCGATAGTTATGGATATAATTTCCCGTTTGTTAATAGTTGTGGATAATATATTGTATTTGCCCTATAAAAAAACACAATTTTCTTTCTATGATTTCCAGAAGAGGGTCATGCGTCGGGTGGCAAAAGTAAGATGTAAGTATACGGTAGGGCTGCAAACGAGCCGAGTCGAGTCGAGTTTTTGCTTAGCTTGAGCTCGGCTCGTTTATAAATTTTTTAGCTCGAGCTCGGCTCGAACTCGAATTTTGATCATCCAGCTCGAGCTCGGCTCAATAGAGCTCGATAAATGCTCATTAACACAGCTTGTCAAGCTGAGTACAAGCTCGGCTCAAGATAAGCTCGATTTGAAACCATTCTTGCTGAAACATGTATACAAATCATAACATTAGAAACCAAAAATGATAAAAAGAACACTAGAAACTAAAAATAACATCTAACTTCCATGCATATCCTTATTAACAAGATAATTTTCATGTTTAGAAGAGTAATTAATCATTCCACAAGGTTTAAACAAGCCAGCTCGCGAGCTTAGCTCAACAAGCCACCGAGTCAAGCTAGCTCACGAGCTTATCAAGCCGAGCATGGCCTAGCTCAAGCTTGGCTCGTTTACTAACGAGCTGGCTCGCGAGCCGGCTTGTTAATTAACGAGTCGAGTGTCAAACGAGTTTTTTCCGATTCGAACGCCGAGTTGCTCGCGTGCGGCTTGGCTCATTTGCAGCCCTAAGTATACGTATTTGGTTGTCCTACTCCTATGGGAAATTCTACGATTGCGGTCCAAGGCTGATTTCAATTTCGCCTGAGCAGGTTTAGTAGAATCTGTTGTCACAAAGTGGTACGTTGGGTTGAGGTTCCTAAGTAATAAAATAATAAAAAATTCACGTGAACAAACAATAGTCGATTACAGGTAGGTACTAGATAGTACAGATCAGCTGGTGATATAATTGGTTACCCGCGCAAATTTGTCAAACTGGTGACGTTTCGGCCGATTCAATCTTTGTTTAATTGATGTCGGACAACAAACCAGCTGAAAAGACCCTGGTATTCAGCATTAGTCAAAATAGGCCATAGCCGGTTAAAATCGGACAAAAAACTTAATTATAGGAATCTCAAACTCGTGAACGTTTAGGTTCTTCTTTCAAAGTCGCAACAATGACTCAAGTTTGAATAGCTCGAATCGATCTTCAAACAAACATAAAATAAAGAATACGTGGGGATAGATACTCGACACAATCAAGTGTGATCCTTGATTGATAAGATTCTTGCCAAGTTCTTTTGGAATCTTCAACAGAAAAACTTAAAAAAGGATCTTGCCCTAACTATGGAATCCACTAAAAGCTAAAACAATAAACCATAAGCACTCATGCTCCATGGAGGTAAACTCCTAAGAGTTAATTTTTCAGTCAATATAATTCTCTATCTCCAATATTCGTGTTTAGAACCTTTATATAGCACAGGGAAAATAACATAACCAAAAAGCATAAAAGAAACAAAAACCTAAACCGAAAGGAAAGGAAAGGCCAAACTCGGTCATGCCTGAAACCCGGTTGGGTATTTACACGCACCAAGCGGGGGTGCTTCTGGACTGATTACTCAATATCCCTTTAAAATATCCGGTCAGGAATTTGTCAATTCTTACCAGGTATTCTTTCTGCGTGGAATCACATCAGTCCCTCCCCATTGAAGAAGTTTTTCCCTCAAAGTTTTTCAACTCGGCTTCCAAACAAAAATTTCCTGCATCATCATAAACAAAGAACAACCAATCTTCACAACTCAACGGACGCAAGAGCTCGAACTGCTCGACATACACAGGCTCTAGTCCGTGATATGTGAAGTGCAAATCGTCATTCAATCTACTCTGTGTGTGGATTTACGTTTCTGTTTCGATATTCCTGTTACGTTTAACACCACCTACTGTTCTAGCCCTTTGTCTTCTTAAAGAAGCACAACTCCAAGACGCTTCACCCAACAACCCACACCCCAGATGGAACTTTGAGGCCCAGATCTTCTAGGACCTGTCCTGAGCCAAGTTTGGATCTAGCCCCAAAGTTGATGTTCCTGCTTTTAGTTTCATCATCGTCCTTGTTGTTCTCTCTACTCTCGTCATTCTCATATACTTGGTTGCTACCCCCAGCCATCTCAAATAACCCGCAATGACGGCGCTTCTTGTAGTGCTCCGATGCTGCTTCCCGGGATTGTGGTGGGCATGGCCAAATTCTTGTATAGCTATCTCTCAGGGGTGGGTGGGTTTGTTTGTTTTTTGCCTAATATGGTCTCCTATGGAAATTGGTTCAAGAGGACATGATCGATAATGAGACGACACAAGGTAGAAAACAAAATTAACTTTCTGATTAAGGACTCTAAAGTAGAAAGGAATCTAAGACCCATCAGCCTCTGCCAGGTAATTTACAAAAAAAGTCATTGCCAAAATCTTGGCTGGAAGACTTAGCAGGGTGTTGCCCAGTATTATCTCCCAATCTCAAAACGGGTTCATCAAAGGCCGACAAATTTCAGACAACATTCTGATTAGTCATGAAATGGTTCACCATCTTAAAACTTCAAAATCTAGAAAGAAAAGGTGGATGGCAGTGAAACTGGATATGGAGAAAGCTTACGACCGGGTAGAATGGCATTTTCTCTTCGAAATGATGAGAGTACATGGCATTCATCCTCGATTCATTTCATGGATAA